ATCATATCCCCAGTTTCGGCAGCGCACCGCTTCCCCCTCCTGAGGCGCCGGACGGTTTGCCAGAATCTCTTCGAGGCCGACCGGCTAGATATAGTCGGGCTCACCTCCACGCACAGCTCGGGCTCTGGAACCTTACTCCTTCCTAGAACCCAACTCAGCATTTTCACATTGCTCAGTCAAAAGAAAACTGAACTTGCTTTAATTTCTTAAAGGCCAAAGATTATCTAATTATTAAAGTATATCTAGTTATTATGTCAGTGAACTGAAGAAACATCTTCAACAATCTAAAGTAGAGACTGTATGACTTAGCACAGTGAGATAAACTGTGGCCTGGATGACTAGAAATCTTCACAGACAAATGTCATAGTGGTGTGATTAGACAACTGATTTTGGTGGTGGTGGGGGGGGTTTGTCTCTTCAGGAATTGTGCGTGAGATGACACACAAATCAGACAGCAAGCTGAAGTCCATCTCCACCACAAGGCTCGACCCTCAGCACCATCTCTGGTACGCTCCAGCCACCCTCTGTACACTTACTCAGCTTTATTGGTGCCAGTTCTGAAACATGTGGTCTAAACAGTTTTGTGCACATTTGTATGTGGTTGGGAGGTGTAAGTTAAAGGGAGTTGTTGCTCAAGAAGTTCTAACTTTCTCTAGGTTGAAAAAGAATGTGGTTCTCTTAATGAAAAAAACAAAGATACTGTGAATCATCAGAACATTTCAGTTATACAGGCAGATTTTAGCAGTCTCAACAAGCTGGCAAACAAGCTTTATCCAACCAGCATAAGTCAAATAAATAGCAGTTTTTCTTTAGCCAAGAAAAAAAGCTGCTTAACATAATGAATAATCATCACTCACTTTTATACTTCAGATCTCTTATTCTGTGATTTGTCCTCAGGCAACAATCGAAAAATAAAACAAATCACAGCAACCACTTCAGACTTCATACAATCGTAGTCTGGTATTATGTCAATTATCCCCTTTGCTTCAGTCGGAGTTACAGTGACATTCATTTGGTGATGTAGAGACAGCGTGGTACCACGTGCCGCCACAACACTCTGCTGTCTTGATGAAAACACTGTCTCTGTTTTAACAAGACCACAGTCAGAAGATGCATATGTTAATATATGTACTCGCACTATTATGACAACACATTTCTTTTGATCCAAGGCATCTAGTGTGTGAAGACATCCAGGCAGATGTGGAGGATGGTCAGCTGCAGTTTTTCTACATCCTGGCTTTTGTTCTGCAAGGTGACATATGCACTCATTCATGAATATTGTTGTTCAGCCCTGCTTTAAGTTGGAAAGAAGGTTTGATTCCCCCCAAACATCTCCCTGAGATAACTAGAGGAGACTATTCATCTACACTGAGTCTCCTTTTCTACAGGCTCACTTTCACCTAGTTTGAAATCTTATCTTTTGAAAAAGATAAGATTTCATGTCATGTAACATAACCTCTGAAGATGCAAATACTATTGTTGTTAACACTGCTCGATACGACGCCAGTGTCCTCTCTTCTTCTTGGTTTGTGTGGATGCAGCTAAAGCTGTTTGTATTTAGGTAATTTAGCTTACAGTCAGAGGAAAAAAATAGAATAGGCTAGATCGTAATTATTAAATTAACCCGCAGCAAGGAAGCTAAGACAAAATGCCACAATAAAAGCCTTGACATATTTTCTGTGATTCTAAAAATATCTGGTAT